TGATGATGATGATGGTGATGATGGTGATGATGATGATGATGGTGATGATGATGATGATGATGATGAGGAGGAGGAGGAGGAGGAGGAGGAGCTAACCCCTTTCACAGAACGTATCACCATCCGAAATACGGTCCCTCCTCAAGCGCATTACGTTTTGCATGACTTCATCAAGCGACAACCATTCAGTCCACTTACCGTATAGTATGTACTTGCCAAGTGGTTTCAGTAGTGTATAGGATTTGCTGATCTCCTCACCGCTAAGACAGTCCAGAATGACACTGATTCCCTCCGGATGAAGTCTGAAGCGGGCAGGTGGACGGGAGGGGGACGATTAAGACAAAACAGTGCAAGATGAACGTGTGGAGCATGTGTGCTCGTAACGAGAGAGAGAGTGAGCAACGCATTTGGTAGGCTGGCAAAATCTCTCCGCCTCCGCACACAAACACACGGAGTAAGTCTTTCAAGCCAGTGAGTGAATTCCCTGCCCCCCCCACCCAAGGACTGTGTTTTTAACATCTTGACACAATGCTGTTAGAAGTATTAGCTCACAAAACAACATTTTTTGTCCATCTATATCGGAATAATGCCCTTTGGATTTTGAGATAGGATTTCAAAATTCTACAAACATAATTTGCTGGTATAGTAGAGGTGGAACTACTCATATCACCCCTGATGCGTGTCTAATATAAATATGCAGATTAAATACAAGTGAACTGTATTGGCTGAGAAACATCGCTCTAACGATTAGATGACTTTCGGAAAAACGAAAATTGTACTTTCGCAAACACATAAAGTTGAGCAACTGAATAGTACTCCCATTGAACTTTAACTATAGCGCCCATTTTCCTATGAGTGCAACGATTGAATGTCTGTATTCTGATAGATTGAGCTTGATATGGACTAAATCATATTGTTCTATTCCTCCGAATACTTTGTCTAATATATAAGTTTAACCATGCAATTTATTGACAAAATGATAGAGGTTTTGCCTGTAGCCGCACTTTGCGGATCTATTCCCGATGAATCCGGAGAACTGTGGACTTAAATCACCCATTGAAGATTGCGCATTACACGAGCGATGACATTCTTCTTGTGACCACGGTACCATCGAATCCATCCGAACTACTAGACAGCTTAAACACTTTTCACCAAAATACACAGCATTCGCTTCAGAAATGGAAAATAGTAAGATTATTACTGATTAGATGTCTTAGTGCATGGGGAAAAAACAAGCTGGAAAGCCCAGTATATCCTATTCGGGAGCTTTATGAAGTGAGATGGTATTCGATCCCTCGACCTATCGGGGATAGGACATGAAAGATTTGGAGCATGAAGAGAACAGTGTAAGAGTTCGGTAATCTCTCTTCTCCGGGAACACGTGATCAATAAAATGCTGAAGTTCAGCGATAACGTGCTAGGCAACAAGGAGGTAATTTATTTCTATCACGTTTAATGAGAGCACACATCTGCTAAGATTTGTGAGGAACATTGTCCAGCTTCACTTCGACGCACCAAAGCTCCATGTGCTGCTCACATTCACACCAATTATGTGTGTATGTGTGTATGTGTATGTGCGTATGCGTATGCGGCAAAAATACACTGCCCCTGAATCGGTGCTCTCATTCTTTGTATACTCAAAAGCCACACAGTCAGTCAAGTGTCCGAGGGGATTCGTGAACACTACTTGGTTTAGATGAATATCGTGGTGGAACAGTTATTTATCGGTGCATGGGTCTCACACCCAGACCAAAATCAACTTTTGTTCATTATGTTTCACTTCAGTTTGGAGTTTTGGCGGTTGAGCTTCCAGGTCGTTTAGCAGTCAAATGGCAATGACAGCGGAAGTAATGGAAAATTATTGGCGGCATAATCGTTTTCTGTGTGCTCAAAAACGATCGTTGCAGATGCCTAAGATTCCATGCTCCCCTCTCCAGATATTTCGAACTATCGGATGAGTAATGTGAATCTCACATCTGGTCTCAGGATGAATTTTTCCTTCCCAAAATTGAAAATTTTAAATCGTTAATTTGGTTCCCTCCTCCCGCTTACCCCCCACTCCCTTGAGACAGAAATTTTATTCAGCCAGACCTCAATAAATGATCTTGGCATTTGACAACAGTGAGAAATTGTGGCCCTTTCAGTCCTTCCCACACAACCAATTTCGCATCGTTGCTTTATACAGAGAACAGCACGATTATCAAGTGTGATTTACCCGTCGCGTGCTGGTCACCAAATGTGAATTGTTCCGAGCCCGATGAAACCTTTATCTGAGTCAGAAATATGTCTACTCTATCGTGTTCTAACCCCGTCCACTCGGCCAACTTCCTGAGCGCAAGTCTTTCGCTGTCATTGTCATCGTCGATCTGCGTACGGGCTTGTATTCACACACACACACACACACACACACACACACACACACACACACACACCTATGAGAAGGTATTAAGATATTCGTTGCGAATTTTCACCCAGCCAAATGATATACGATCGATAATCCATTAGGAAAGTAGCGAAAATTGCATAATCACATAAGCTTACGAGAGGGATGAAATGATTGCTATTTGCCAGACACACAAACACAGACCTGATTGCATCTGTGCATTTTGTTCACTACATGAGAACGGATTTATCCTTTGAGGCAGCAGTTAACACTTAGGCATGACTTTTTCCATCATGACTACATGGTTTGTTTCTTCTCGTTCCACAGTCCACAATATCCTTCACTTGGTTCTTGTTTCCATCTGCTTGTCTGAGTTCTCCTCTCTCAAACTTGCCGATCGATAGCTAATCAATCAACACTTTCCCTCCCGATTCAGCTTCGGTTTTCTGAATGCATTACGAATAGTAAAATCCATCATTCCCTGGAGGAAGTAATTTTCATCGAAACTTGTAAGAGAACTGGATTTGGAATGATCATACTCCATCTTGCCTCCGAAAGCCTTAGTATCCTCGGGGCTGGGTGTCTGGGTTTGTAACTGGTCGTCATTCTCTTACATCTCGTGAAATGCTTCTATACGACCAAGTGTCTCAAGTAGCCTCTGTTGAAGAAGCCCTGCTCACTGCCTTCCCGTGGCGGAGGTAGTTTCCCACCAAAGTGAGAGAACAAAAAGCCGACATCCGGGGCTATAAATGGGTTGGTGAAACACTGGTAATTCACCTAGAGGAGTTAGCTGAAATCCCTGATTCCAAACCAACCATGAGGAGGTGTACAAATCACACTGACACCTTCCAGGTTGTGGCGATGGTCACCGGCTTCTTTAGGTATCGTACTGTATTGGGCACCTTGGACGTCTAACCTCGTCCAAAGGGCGTATGATCCAATGAACAGGACACCGGCCCCCAATGGATTGCGGACTCTGAACTCCGTCCGGTTGCATAGCAGGTCTGGCTCTCTAAGTAAAGGCTTGGGGTGGGGACCCCGAGCCTATCCCCTTTCCTCGGCCTGGGAAACCGGGAAGTAACATGCCCAGACAATCTATGAACACATTCTTCAGATGTCTTTCTGTCCAAATGTTGTGGCACATTTGCCAGTTCTCCATATTTGGTTACGTGTTGAAATAATAATATTAATAATACTCCATCCTCACGCGTAATCCTCAGTTCATCTAGCCAACTACTACTACGGCGATGGGAGACAATTTCAAGGCGGAATTGTTGTTTCATCATCAGTTGACGCATTAAATGCGACGGATGGCTTGTGCTTCCTACCATGGACATATAGATCCACAGTTCGATGTGCAGCGAGTGGTAAACAACAGTGGGATCTAGATTCATCCCTGAAATAAACTAACCGTCCATAGGAAAATGGGCAATCACGCACTTTTCTCTCTCGACAAACTGCAATTATAGCCAAATGCGTGAGGATAACCGGTTTTCTCTATGGGATATGGCGATTTGAACCCTTAGAAATTATTCACCGGTTCACGATAGCAAGTACCTGATAGGAG